ATCCCCTTTATCCACTCATCTAATGTTACAGATGCCATGTTTTCTACCGTCTAGATTACAAGCCTTGTGTTATCAATATCAATGTAAAGAATCAGCAATTGGGTGCGTAATCTTAGGGCGTCAGATCGTGGTATCTCCCCGTTCGACCACAAATGTGGTGGGGAAATGTACACACGAATCGTGACCCCGTCCTACGCGACCCAAATTACTGCGTTCACTGTGACCGTTGTGCAATGGTCACTTCCACAGAAAACATCAATCACTCATTCACACCAAGAGAAAAATTAAAAGTGAGAAAAGTTAGACACTGTCCCTGTCCTCTCCCTCTCGTCAATTCATTAAAACACACAGTTTTCTCCTTTAACTATTAAATCACTGAGATAACACACAGTTCACTCCTTTTAACTCATAAATCACTTAGATCCTCACACAGTTCTGCTTTTAGGTTGACTATCAATCACTGAGATAACACACAGTTTTTCTCCTTTTCTTAAGTCACTTAGACTTGAATACTAATATCCCAATAAATATAAAATACTTGAAAAGCAAATCCTTCAATATTCATCCTACTTTTGTTTGTTTGTTTTTTATTTTTAGGTCTCAGGTCAGGTCAAAAGGAAAGATTAATCAGTTGGTAACAATTCTTACCGTTTTACTTTGGCGCCAAATTAATCTTTTCTTTGACCGGTCCTAGTGTCTCCTGTCGAATCCTGTTCGAGCGACGCCAAGTTCTGCAGTAATTTGTCAGAATTCCCCTGCCCCAGAAGCTGCAGACAGGCCGCAACACAGCCCTTCGTTCTGCAGGTCCTTTTAGTTCAACAAGAGACAAAAACCAATGTTAAAACAGTAAATAGAAATGACAGATACCAAACCTGATTTCAAAAGGTTATATTGAAGATTTGCAAGCAATATTACAATATTAACGGTCTGCGAACACAAGTCTCGCTTCGCGTCCAAGATAAGGAGTGGCCTTGGGGACGTCTCACTGCTCTCCTGTCGGACGAAAAAAGAGGCCCCCGTGACTGCTCCTGTACATCTTTATACTTTACATCCAAGGTCACTTGACATCACAACTGTATGGACCCTATGACTCCTTCTGGCCAGCTGCCAAAGCCTGCACCTGCTCTGATAAAACACTTGTTTTCTTCCATTCTCACACAGACTAACCTTGAACTAACTGCTCTTTGAGATTTACACAAACAAGTGCTAATTTGGCAACAGAAACAATACTAAACTGATTTTAATTTTAACTGGTCCAGGAGTTCAATATTCCAACATTACACAACAAATTCTGGGGGAGAAACTCTGGACCCCGTGTCAATGGGTGTAGACTCAGGTCGTAGTGAATGTCCCCACCAAGATTGGAACCAAACCTACACCATTGCTTTGGTGTCTAAGCGCCAAAAACTTGCGTCAGAGCCTTGGCTCAACGAGGATACGCGTGCGCTCAGACGCGAGTGCAGGCGCGCGGAGCGTAAATGGGATAAGGACAAGTTGCACGTATCCCTTGGAATATACAGAGACTGTTTTACCAAGTATCAGCGAGCTGTAAAGACTGCAAAAGCCTACTACATGTCTAATTTTATCTCTACGAACAGCCAGAGACCACAGATTCTTTTTAATGTTTTAAATGGTTTGGTTAACCCTGTGCCCTCCTCTGGTCTTGTCCCATCTGAACCTTTGTGCAATGATTTCCTGTCATTTTTTGTAAACAAAATATTGCACATAAGGATTTCACCTGTTTTCTCAAGTGTCTCTGAGCCCATTGTAAACACTGTGTCTGATATCTTTGATGAGTTCACGCCTGTATCTTTCACTGAGTTGTCCAGAGTTGTCCAGCATCTTAAACCGTCCAATTGTCCACTGGACATTGTTCCTGCACATTTTTAAAAAAGTGTTTTTGGTGTTGTTGGGCCTTACAACACGCATGTTATCAATGCGTCCCTTTTATCTGGCTGTGTTCCGGGTGTTTTTAAGTAGTTCAGCCACTTCTTAAGAAGCCCACCTTGGACAACACTGTTCTTGCTAATTACAGGCCTATTTTGAAGCTGCCTTTTTTAGCCAAAGTATTGGAGAAAACGGTTCTTAATCAATTCCAACAGCATCTGGACACAAATGGCATCTTTGACACGTTTCAATCAGGTTTTAAAGCTCTACATAGCACAGAGACTGCACTGCTCAGAGTTTTTAATGATCTGCTTTTAACAGCTGACTGGTTCTCCTGCCATTTTAGTTCTTTTAGATCTGACAGCTGCTTTTGACACTATAGATCATAGCATTTTAATTTTGCGTTTGGAGCACTACGCTGGTTTTAAAGGCACCGCATTAAACTGGTTCAGGTCCTATCTTGGTAACAGGTGTTTTTCTGTCTACTTTGGGCCCTACAAGTCTGGCCTGGCACCCCTTAATTGTGGCGTTCCACAGGGCTCCATTTTAGGCCCCGCCCTTTTTTCTTTGTATATGCTGCCACTTGGAGATATTCTAAAGAAACACAATGTCTCCTTTCATGCGTATGCTGATGATCTGCAGATCTACCTGCCTTTAAATCCCATCTCAGTGTCAATTGCAACACTGCTAGATTGTCTCCAGGAAGTGAGATCATGGCTGGCCCAAAATTTTGTAATTCTCACCGAGAATAAAACTGAGATTGTTTTTTTTTAGCTCCAGCCTCCCTGTGGAGCTCACTGATGCACTTGGTGCACTCTCTGCTCATGTCCATTCCTCTGCCAGAAAGTTATTTTTGATAGCACCTTTAGGATGGACAAGCAAATTAATTCAGTAATCAAAGCCAGCTTTTATCAGCTCCGGGTCTTGAGCAAAGTGAAGGCTTACATCCCACCGACTGACTTTGAGCGAGTTATCCACCTTTTTATTTCTTCAAGATTAGATTACTGCAACTCGTTGTATTGTGGTCTGGACCTCGGCTCTTTAAAGCGCCTTCAGTAGGTGCAGAATGCTGCTGCTCGCTTACTCACAGGGACACGTAAGAGAGAGCACATCACCCCCGTGCTGGCCTCACTTCACTGGCTCCCTGTTACTTTCAGGGTTGATTTTAAGATTCTGATGCTTGTTTTTAAATGTTTGAATGGTTTGGCCCCTGTATATCTGTCGGAGCTGTTATCTTTGTATGCTCCGGTCAGATCAGTGCGGTCCGAAAACCAGATGTTGAATGTGCCCCGGTCTCGTCTCAAAACTCGAGGAGACCAAGCCTTTTCTGTTGCTGCCCCCAAACTGTGGAATAGTCTACCTCTGTTCATCAGAGCAGCTCCTTCATCGGAAGTTTTTAAGTCTAGTTTAACCTCTTAAGGATCACCCTCCCTGTACAGGGAGGATTCAGTTATTTTTCATTTAACAGCATCAGTATTAGAATTCACTTGTGTCAATATAGTCAAGCTATATCTCTTTTGAAAGCTTATTCCCACCTCTAAACGCGTATTATGTTCAAATAAACATTAAATATAACCAGAATTAAGAATAAGTAGTCTAACTGTATATATATTTAAAATATATATTGTCCTTTCTTACCTTGTCATGCTAATATTCTGGGGCAAATCACGTCTAATCCACACATGTGTGCATTTGTTTTGTTCTTTAGGGTCTAGAGAATAATTATATCCAGTTGTTTTTTCTTCAAAGTCATCCTTATAGTAGATATCCACTTGTAACAACATATTTGAGTATTGAAAGTTGCACAAACAAAAATAAAACCTGTTCTTTGCGCACTGTATGAAGGCCCAGTCCCAATACCCACACTGCACCCTACACACTTCTACGAAGTGTGCATTTGTTCGAAGTGCACACCAGGGTTGGAGTGCGCAGGTTACAAGTGTGCAAAAAAGGCGGAATTGGGACAGTGCACACTGAGTGCAGGTCACGTCATCGACTCGTCAAGAGATGGTCATTTTCAGAGGTAAACTTTATAAACATTAAAGGTAATTTTGTCTGACCCTTTGGGAAACAAATTGAATTGCTTCACACACAAATACAATACATGTATATTAGTTGTTTTTAATTAGAGATAGCTGTATAATTTTAAGTTAAATGTGGGTAACCAACTATCTGGTCAGTTTTTATACATTCTAAGTGTACTAAGTGTAAAGTTTAAATTGAATGTTATATGAACGCTTGCTTTAAAATGTATTAAATTGTTAAAACACAATGTCTGTAATTCTTCAGACGTTTATGCTTCTTTCCAAGTAACATAGTGTGACATAACGAGGGTTAAAAGTACAGGTTAAAAATTTTGCTATTGTCAACAACGCCACCTAGGATAGGCCTAGGACCCTGCACAAGGCAGACACAGGTTCGCTTCCCTTTTTAAAGTGATGGGGGCAGAGACAAAACCAAAACTTGACTACAAAAGTACAACATTTATTTTCATTAAAACATTTTTAAGTTAGGAACATTTGATTAATAATGGTAATTGCCAAAAGCCAAACACAAAAAAACACATGCACACACACACACACACACACATGCAAAGGACAAAGAAAAAAAAGATTAAACAATCCTAAACTCAATTACAGTTAAAATGTACAAATTTACAGTTTGGGTGTCCAGGTGCTCTGTGGGCCTAATATTGATGATCAGTGTCCACAACTGGAGCGACTCTGGTCTGTGGGGTCAATCCAGAGCAGTGGAGGCAGGAGGAGCTGCGCCGGTGGAAACGGGGCTCAGAATTTGTGTACTTGTGATGATTGGCAGTCTCCAGACTGCCGCGGGAGGTGCAGCTCGGTCCCGCTGAAGTGCAGGGAAGCTGGGGTTAGACCACTAAAGATTAGAATTTGAGTATACATCAGGCAATAACGGCAACTCACCAATCAGAGAAAGCACCGGTCCCCCAGACCCCGAACGGAGGCGCGCTCTCAACCTCCGCTGTGCGTAATTTAGCACCAACTAAATTAAAATGAGCTGTTAGGGTGACTGGGGACAGCCAAATGGGTCAGAGGGAAGATGGCACCATGCTTACCCACAAGTAACGTCTGAGAAGCACAACAGGCTCACACAGGCCCTTCACTAAGGTTTGCCACACTGGAGGAGCTGGCCACACTGGAGCAGGAGGAAAGCGCGTGAGTGCCAAATGCGCGCAAGTGGAAGTGTGGGATAAATGATGCGCACTCACCAAAACGAGCAGAAGGAGTTTCCCAGGGCAGCGCTCACGCCGCACAAGCCCACATACGTGCCAACAGGGCCACCAACCACTGTGTGAGGCTCCCCACCAGCACAACTCCACGGACCCAAAGAGACTGCTGCTTCCCGCAGGAGTGGCAAAAGAGTGAGCGCCCTCAGGCTCAGGCTTAAAACAAAAAACAACCCACAGGTCCTGCCCCTGCAATTAGTGGCAGGCAGGTGCGTGAGGTGGTGTTTCAATGAAACAGGTAAGGGGAGGGCAGACGCACTCCACACTGCTACAATAGCAAAACTTATTTACACACATACTGCATATATATTTCAAAATTTGCATTTTCCCGACGTTTTGGTGTGTACCGCAAAGAATTATGGCCAATATCCTTCGCCAGAGTGCGCATTGATGCAGGCTACGGCAAAGTGTGGATCAGGGGCGCAAAGGGGGCGGGGCCAAAGACCTCCTTGGAGAATTGGGACACCCTACGCACCATGGATGTATTATATTAACTGGATAGGGTATTACTAGCTTGTAGCTGAATAACTCATGTGCTCAGGGGATTCTCGCGGTACTGCAGACTGAACCAGACTAAATTCACGAGGGCTACCCAGAGATTTTCCCCATAGAACTCAATGCAAATTAAAACAGCTCGACCTCAGCTGACAGAGAACCTACAGCTTTAATAAAGATCGGATTTTGTGGGGATTTTAGTGTCCCTTGTCATCCTGAACTTTTTTTCTTCTTAAATCCTTCGGTTTTGTTTAAATCCACACTTTAGTGCCACAAACTCTGCTCGTCTGGCTCTCGCTCTAACGCCCGCTCTGATGAACTGCTCTGATTGGTCAGAGCGCGGCCGAGCCCCTCTGTGCACGTGCGTGAAACCCGGTGTGAGACCCACACACGCGTGTTTGGCGCAACGCATTATGGGAGATCATCCACTGCGCAGAACCGGGAGGACCAGACGATGCCCAAATACAGGCGAGTTTCCCATAGATCTTTGCGAGTTTCAGGCAACTTCCGCTAATCTTTTCAGCCCCCATGCCGTCACAAAGCGCCACTGAGCGCAACCATTCATTTGAATAGGGCGCCATCTTGGATCGCCGGGGCTTGCTACGCACTCGCACCCTTTATCGGGAACGCGCAAATGAGGGGCGCGAGGGTGGAAGTGCGAGTATTGGGACGGGGCCGTAGAGGACATTTTATTGTTTACCTAGCGTCACTGGGTATGTTCGTCTTCCCCTAAGCCTCCCCTTCAAAACAAGCCCATTACCGGACTTTTCAGTGCTATGGTTTGGAAGGTAGAGTAAGTTGAGTAAAACAAGCGCACCTAGCTTTAGCGCTCCATTCACATAGATATCTGTGCGTCACGACAGCATTGTCTTGACTACCATTGGCCGATTTGGATGTCAATCAAATCATCTTGTAGCCAATAATCTCAGGTTTCAGGCGATGTGTCGGACTTCTAGCTTCCTCCCACTGTTCCCGTCATATTTGAATGCGTAAAGAGGAAGACGGAGCCTTTTTCACGGAGAACACGCGCTATAACTATATAAATAATAGCTTTTCTGCAAACCTTTCAATAACTGGAAAAAATGCTATTTATAGCAAGAGTAATAGCCAAAAAATTATATAAATGGATTTTTTGATGTAAAAACATTGATCATTTGCATGTAAAACACTTTGGCACAGTTGTGCCGAATGTGCCCATTAGTTACAAAAAAGCCCCCAGCATCAAAATAGTTCCACCTAAAGGTCTAAAATTTCATATAGGTGTTTCCAACACCACAAACATCTGCTCTGGTGAGTTTGAACATCATACCATAAAGTATGTCTTCAGAAGAACCTTTTGAAATTGCCTTTTATTTTTTTTGACAAAAAAAACTAACTTTGACTCATGTTTGAGAAGCTGTAATGCAGACTGTGTCCTTCCTAACAAACTGTAACATACATTTTCAGAAACTAGAAGGTTTTACCTTTCAAATGAGGCCTCATAACACAAAATCAGACACAAGATGTCCACACAATAAGCATTTCCATTTGGGTATCATAATTCGAGAAGGAGCAGGCGAAATTAGGTGATCTTTAAAGGGTTAAAGACACATTTTTACACCTTGGCTTTTAACACCAGTTGAGGTTTTACCACTTTACTTTTACATGTATGTGTATGTATTTTATACTGTTTTATTTTTATTTTTATCATTCGTGCCTGTGAAGCACTTTGGGCAGCTGGTGTTGTTGTAAATGTGCTATATAAATAAAGTTGACATTGACATTGATATTGAATAAAAACAATGGAATGTCAGTCTTTATCATCTGGTACATGACATGTCATCGGGATGACCTTTGACCCTGAAACTCTTCTCCTCAGACTGTGGCCTGATGGAAAGGAGAGAGCACGTTTAAGATGTTGTACTCATCAGTCTGTGTGAAGAGAGGCCAGAGACACCCACACTGGTTCTTCCTCACTGGTTCTTCCTCACTGGTTCTACCTCACTGGTTCTTCCTCACTGGTTCTACCTCACTGGTTCTACCTCACTGGTTCTCCCTCACTGGTTCTTTCTCACTGGTTCTTCCTCCCTGGTTCTACCTCACTGGTTCTTTCTCACTGGTTCTTCCTCACTAGTTCTTCCTCACTGGTTCTTCCTCACTGGTTCTACCTCACTGGTTCTACCTCACTGGTTCTCCCTCACTGGTTCTTTCTCACTGGTTCTTCCTCCCTGGTTCTACCTCACTGGTTCTTTCTCACTGGTTCTACCTCACTGGTTCTACCTCACTGGTTCTCCCTCACTGGTTCTCCCTCACTGGTTCTTTCTCACTAGTTCTACCTCCCTGGTTCTACCTCACTGGTTCTTCCTCACTGGTTCTCCCTCACTGGTTCTTTTCACTGGTTCTACCTCACTGGTTCTTTCTCACTGGTTCTACCTCCCTGGTTCTACCTCACTGGTTCTTTCTCACTGGTTCTTCCTCACTGGTTCTCCCTCACTGGTTCTCCCTCACTGGTTCTACCTCCCTGGTTCTACCTCCCTGGTTCTACCTCACTGGTTCTACCTCACTGGTTCTTTCTCACTGGTTCTTCCTCACTGGTTCTTTCTCACTGGTTCTTCCTCACTGGTTCTTCCTCACTGGTTCTCCCTCACTGGTTCTTCCTCACTGGTTCTTCCTCACTGGTTCTCCCTCACTGGTTCTTCCTCACTGGTTCTCCCTCACTGGTTCTTCCTCACTGGTTCTCCCTCACTGGTTCTTCCTCACTGGTTCTCCCTCACTGGTTCTCCCTCACTGGTTCTCCCTCACTGGTTCTCCCTCACTGGTTCTCCCTCACTGGTTCTTCTCAGCATGCAGCTGTGACAGCCTCTGGTCCAGCGTGTTGGTACCTCGGGCTGGTCCAGGGCTGTCCGTCACTGGATCTGAAAAATTCCATTTTCCCAAATTTGTGTCCGATGGATTTAATCACAGGATTTCTTTACAATTCAATTTATTTTATGTGCAACGCAAACTGAACGCCGAATGTTATGGTGCTGCGCCGGTCACAAGACACCTCACCTTCACTGCTACAGCCCAGCCATCCAGAATACTCCTTTTGAACTGCCATGTAAGTACCATGTAAGTACCATGTAAGTACCATGTCAGTACCATGTCAGTGCCATGTCAGTGCCATGTCAGTGCCATGTAGTGCCATGTAGTGCCATTTAGTGCCATGTAAGTACCATGTAAGTACCGTGTACGTACGTGCCATGTAAGTACCATTGTAGTGCCATGTGAGTACCATGTAGTGCCATGTGAGTACCATGTAGTGACATGTGAGTACCATGTGAGTGCCATGCGAGTACCATGTAGTGACATGTGAGTACCATGTGGTGCCATGTAAGTGCCATGTGAGTACCATGTGAGTACCATGTGAGTGACATGTACTGCCATGTAAGTGCCATGTGAGTACCATGTAGTGCCATGTGAGTACCATGTGACTACCATGTGAGTACCATGTAGTGCCTTGTGAGAACCATGTGACTACCATGTAGTGCCATGTGAGTACCATGTAGTGACATGCGAGTGCCATGTGAGTACCATGTAGTGACATGTGAGTACCATGTGAGTGCCATGTAGTGACATGTGAGTATCATGTGAGTGCCATGTGAGTACCATGTAGTAACATGTGAGTATCATGTGAGTGCCATTTGAGTACCATGTGACTACCATGTAGTGCCATGTGAGTACCATGTAGTGACAAGTGAGTGCCATGTGAGTACCATGTGAGTGCCATGTAGTGACATGTGAGTGCCATGTAGTGCCATGTGAGTACCATGTGAGTACCATTTTGTGACATGTGAGTGCCATGTGAGTACCATGTAGTGACATGTGGGTGCCATGTAAGTGCCATGTGAGTACCATGTGAGTGACATGTAGTGCCATGTAAGTGCCATGTGAGTACCATGTAGTGACATGTGAGTGCCATGTGAGTACCATGTAGTGACATGTGAGTGCCATGTGAGTACCATGTGAGTACCATGTAGTGACATGTGAGTGCCATGTAGTGCCATGTGAGTACCATGTAGTGACATGTGAGTGCCATGTGAGTACTATGTAGTGACATGTGAGTACCATGTGAGTGCCATGTGAGTGCCATGTGACTGCCATGTGAGTACCATGTAGTGACATGTTGGTACCTTGTGAGTACCAATTGAGTGTCATGCAGTGCCATGTGAGTACCATGTAGTGACATGTGAGTGCCATGTAGTGACAGGTGAGTGCCATGTGAGAGCCATGTGAGTACCATGTGAGTACCATGTAGTGACATGTGACTGCCATGTGAGTACCATGTAGTGACATGTTAGTACCTTGTGAGTACCAATTGAGTGTCATGCAGTGCCATGTGAGTACCATGTAGTGACATGTGAGTGCCATGTGAGTGCCACGTGAGTACCATGTGAGTACCATGTAGTGATATGTGAGTACCATGTAGTGACATGTGAGTACCATGTGAGTGCCATGTGAGTACCATGTGAGTACCATTTAGTGACATGTGAGTGCCATGTGAGTGACATGTGAGTACCATGTGAGTACCATGTGGGTGCCATGTAAGTGCCATGTGAGTACCATGTGAGTGACATGTAGTGCCATGTAAGTGCCATGTAGTGCCATGTGAGTACCATGTAGTGACATGTGAGTACCATGTAGTGCCATGTGAGTACCATGTAGTGACATGTGAGTGCCATGTGAGTACCATGTAGTGCCATGTGAGTACCATGTAGTGCCATGTAGTACCATGTAGTGACATGTGAGTGCCATGTGAGTACCATGTAGTGCCATGTGAGTACCATGTAGTGACATGTGAGTACCATGTGAGTACCATGTTAGAGGAGGTCCATGTGTCCGCTGTGATGCACTGCCGCAGCTTCCTCTGTTTTTTGTTGAGTCTGAAAATGACAATGTCCATCCATCTTCTTCTTCCGCTTCATCCGTTGCCGGGTCGCGGGGGCAGCAGTCTAAGCAGAGACGCCCAGACTTCCCTATCCACACACACTTCCTCCAGCTCGTCCGGGGGGACCCCAAGGCGTTCCCAGGTCCCGGTGGGACGTGCCCGGAACATCTCCCCAGGGAGGCGTCCAAGAGGCATCCGGAACAGATGCCCGAGCCACCTCAACTGGTTCCTCTCGACGTGAAGAAGCAGCGGCTCTTCTCCGAGCTCCTCCTGTGTGACTGAGCTCCTCACCCTATCTCTAAGGGAGCGCCCAGCCACTCTGCGGAGGAAGCTCATTTCGACCGCTTGTATCCGCGATCTCGTTCTTTCGGTCATTACCCAAAGCTCATGACCATAGGTGAGGGAGGGAACAAAGATTGACCGGTAAATCGAGAGCTTTGCCTTTCGCCTCAGCTCCCTCTTTACCACGACGGTCCGATACAGCTCTGACTGCAGACGCCGCTCCCTCTTTACCACGACGGTCCGATACAGCTCTGACTGCAGACGCTGCTCCCTCTTTACCACGACGGTCCGATACAGCGACCGCATCACTGCGCACGCTGCACCGATCCGCCTGTCAATCTTACGCTCCATCCTTCCCTCACTCGTGAACAAGACCCCGAGATACTTGAACTCCTCCACTTGAGGAAGGACCATCCTATCAATGTAAAATGAGACCATGTGTCATTAATATATACAGTCTATGGTCATGTGACGTTCTCTGATGTGGAACAATCCAACTGTTTCCAAACCATCGATGATACAACGGAAATTACACTTGTTTCTATTTTCTGAGTAAATCCCACTGTAGAAAAGTGTAGCTTTGGTTAAATACACAATAACGATCCATTTCAGAAACCATATGCTGTGGAATTCACCTGGTGCCGTGGCATACACCTGGTGCCGTGGCATACACCTAGTGCCGTGACATACACCTGGTGCCGTGGCATACACCTGGTGCCGTGGCATACACATGGTGCCGTGACATACACCTGGTGCCGTGGCATACACATGGTGCTATGACATACACCTGGTGCTGTGACATACACCTGGTGCTGTGGGATACACATGGTGCTATGACATACACCTGGTGCCGTGGCATACACCTGGTGCCGTGGCATACACCTGGTGCCGTGGCATACACCTGGTGCCGTGGCATACACATGGTGCCGTGACATACACATGGTGCTGTGACATACACCTGGTGCTGGTGTAATACATTTACACCAGCACCAGGTGTAAGCACATTTTTCTAAACAAACTTTAGTTGGCAAAGCGTATGAACAAGGTCCTAAAGCCCGTCTCTCCACAGGGGTCAGAGGTCAGGGGTCAGGGGCTCTCTCTGAAGACCAGATCCAGGACTGCACGGTCTAAAGGGGCAATATGTCCTCAGTACCCTGAGGACATATGTTAAGAATACTAACCACAAGATGGCGCTGTGAGCTGTATGTGCCTAACACCAGGAGGAGCACAGGGACACCAGGAGGAGCACAGGGACACCAGGAGGAGCACAGGGACAGCAGGAGGAGCACAGAGACAGCAGGAGGAGCACAGGGACACCAGGAGGAACACAGGGACAGCAGGAGGAGCACAGGGACAGCAGGAGGAGCACAGGGACAGCAGGAGGAGCACAGGGTCCTGATGTCCTCCTGCTCCTCTTTTATGAAGTCATTAAAATTTGAATGTTGATTCTCACTTCCTGTTGGAGACGTTGGGACCATGAGGACCCTGAGGACCATGAGGACCATGAGGACCATGAGGACCATGAGGACCATGAGGACCATGAGGACCATGAGGACCCTGAGGACCTCACGTTGAGAAGCTCATAAACATCAACAGTGAAGACTCACCTCCACCAGAGGGCGCCACCACACCGGGAGAGAGGAGAGGAGGGGGAGAGAGAGGCGGGGAGGAGGGGGAGAGAGAGGCGGGGAGGAGGGAGAGAGAGAGGCGGGGGGGAGAGAGAGGCGGGGGGGAGGGGGGGAGGGATGAAACTTGACTCTGAGCCTCAGTCCGGTCCACAGTCGCAGCCTCAGTCCTAGTCCTGGTCCTAGTCCCAGTCCGGTCCCGTGGGTCTAAGCACAAGAACCGGGACTGCTCTCAACCGAGCCATCAGCGTATATTCTTCCCCCGAGAGCGCTTCAGAGTCTCGGCTGCTCTCTCCTCTGTCCCGGGACATCTGCGGCCTCCCCCCGCGGAGCAGAGAGGCCGGACCCCCGCGGAGCGAAGGTCGAGATGAAGAGGAGCAGCGTGGGGAAGAGGGTGAGTGTCCCCGGGTCTGTCATTAAAGCTCAGGTCTGTAACTTTAGTCTAAATAACACATGTTTAAAGCTCAGGTCTGTAACTTTAGTCTAAATAACACATGTTTAAAGCTCAGGTCTGTAACTTTAGTCTGAATAACACATGTTTAAAGCTCAGGTCTGTAACTTTAGTCTAAATAACACATGTTTAAAGCTCAGGTCTGTAACTTTAGTCTGAATAACACATGTTTAAAGCTCAGGTTTGTAACTTTAGTCCAAATAATGTTTAAGTGACAGTCGGGAGTTTGTCAGAAAAAAGAGAGGTACATGATTTGAAAATAAACGACCTAAGCTCCTCCCCCTTTCTTTCTGATTGGTTATGAAGCCGCGCCTACTTTTCCGTGCACGCACCAGGTCAATGGTCCAAGACGCGCGCAGGAGAGATGACTAATTAAAATATTCAAATATTTAATAATAATTTATTACACAGATCCTCACAGCAGCAGACGCTCCATTGATCTGAATGTCATTTCAAGACGTTCTACCGTTCATTTTTTCTTAAACAAAACTCTCAAACCAATAATGAACGCTGCCCTTTGGCAAATCCAGGATTTCACATTGTAGGATTTTGAAAGAATTCATTTGTAAATGATGGTGGAAAATAAGTATTTGGTCACTTCAAACAAGGAAGATCTCTGGCTCTGACAGACCTGTAACTTCTTCTTCAAGAAGCTCTTCTGTCCTCCACTCGTTACCTGTATTAATGGCACCTGTTTGAACTCATCTGTATAAAAGCCCAAATGTAGCCCAAAACGATATTTCAACCACTGATAATCTCCCTCGATCTGGGGCTCCACGCAAGATCTAATCAAAATGATCAAGGGTCAAAATGATCATGAGAACGGTGATCAAAAATCCCAGAACCACACGGGGGGACCTGGTGAATGACCTGCAGAGATCTGGGACCAAAGTAACAAAGGTTACCATCAGTAACACACTACAACGACAGGGAATCAAACCCTGCAGTGCCAGACGTGTCCCCCTGCTGAAGCCAGTGCATGTCCAGGCCCGTCTGAAGTTTGCCAGAGAGCACATGGATGATACAGCAGAGGATTGGGAGAATGTCATGTGGTCAGATGAAACCAAAGTACAACTGTTTGGTATAAACTCAACTCGTCGTGTTTGGAGGAAGAAGAATACCATACCTACTGTGAAGCATGGGGGTGGAAACGTCATGCTTTGGGGCTGTGTGCCATTCCACACACACACACACCATTCCACACACACACACCATTCCACACACACACAGACACCATTCCACACACACACACACACCATTCCACACACACACACACACCATTCCACACACACACACCATTCCACACACACACACCATTCCCTACACACACACACCATTCCCCACACACACACACCATTCCCCACACACACACACCATTCCACACACACACAACATTCCCCACACACACACACCATTCCACACACACACACCATTCCACACACACACACCATTCCCCACACACACACACCATTCCACACACACACACCATTCCCCGTTCCATTCATACGGTTACTAGTTCACCAAAAGTGCACACTTCAGAAATACATTCAAGCAAACATTTACACACACATTTACACACACATTTACACACACATTTACACACACATTTACCGGTCTGTGCGCGAGGATCGAACCAGGACACTATTTCCTGGTGGGTCAAATGGGAATTATGTCCCTGTGATGTCCGCCATGCAACCCTTTAGGGCTCACATCCGTGCTCTGAATCTCTTCCTTTGGCCCCTGATTATTCCTGCAGGGTCTGATCACTGGCAGGGCGAGATACAGTGGTATACCGAGATACTGTGGTGTACCGAGATACTGTGGTGTACCCGAGATACTGTGGTGTACCGAGATACTGTGGTGTACTGAGATACTGTGGTATACCGAGATACTTGTAACTGTCCTCAACGTCTGCTATCGTGGTTTGGATCAGAGTCTAATGTAGATCCTGGTGGTTTGGATCAGAGTCTAGTGTAGATCCTGGTGGTTTGGATCAGAGTCTAGTGTAGATCCTGGTGGTTTGGATCAGAGTCTAGTGTAGATCCTGGTGGTTTGGATCAGAGTCTAGTGTAGATCCTGGTGGTTTGGATCAGAGTCTAATGTAGATCCTGGTGGTTTGGATCAGAGTCTAATGTAGATCCTGGTGGTTTGGATCAGAGTCTAATGTAGATCCTGGTGGTTTGGATCAGAGTCTAGTGTAGATCCTGGTGGTTTGGATCAGAGTCTAGTGTAGATCCTGGTGGTTTGGATCAGAGTCTAGTGTAGATCCTGGTGGTTTGGATCAGAGTCTAATGTAGATCCTGGTGGTTTGGATCAGAGTCTAATGTAGATCCTGGTGGTTTGGATCAGAGTCTAATGTAGATCCTGGTGGTTTGGATCAGAGTCTAGTGTAGATCCTGGTTGTTTGGATCAGAGTCTAGTGTAGATCCTGGTTGTTTGGATCAGAGAGTTGATGTCTCTCTCGCCCGTTCCTGAGGCGGTATTCAGAGCCAGTTTGGTCAATTACTTGGCTTAGAGGGTTATGCAGAACAGTAGTGGGGACAGAGCATCTCCTTGGTAGATACCACCTTTGATGGTCACTTGTGCGAGCGGCTTGCCATTTGCCTCAAGGGTGGTCTTCCACATTCCCATCGAGTTTGCGATGGGAAGTCCCTTCGAGCCCTGTTGATATTGTACAACTTCAAGCATTCCATGATCCATGTGTGTGGCATTGAGTCGTAGGCTTTCTGGTAATCAATCCAGGCTGTGCACAGGTTGGTGTGTCATGACCAGCAGTCTGTTCTGTCAACCAGGAGCTGGGGTTTGGCTCCTCTGGTGTCTCTACAGGAGCTGGTGTTTGGCTCCTCTGGTGTCTCTACAGGAGCTGGTGTTTGGCTCCTCTGGTGTATCTACAGGAGCTGGTGTTACCCTGTTGTTACAAAGGACCAGGCACCAGAGAGACCAGAGAGAGACCAGGGAGAGAGACTAGAGAGAGAGACCAGAGAGACCAGAGAGAGAGACTAGAGAGAGAGACCAGAGAGAGACCAGAGTGAAACTACAGCTGTGGTTTGGTTTGGACGAAGGAGGAGAATCCTCCTCCGTTAGCGAAGCACACGAAGCATTAGCATTGTTGTTTACGTTCTACTGCGTCCAAATGGACGAAGTGCTGACGTCATCAGTCTCCATGGAAACGAAAGGACACGATATAAACTATGACTGTGTGTGTCTGTGTCTGTGTGCCTGTGTCTGTCTGTGTGTGTGTGTCTGTATGTCTGCGTGTGTGTCTGTGTGTGTGTGTGTATGTCTGCGTGTGTGTGTCTCTGTGTGTGTTGCAGGTGGCTGAGGCTCCGCCCCCAGAGAAGAGCAGTTGGCTCAGACAGTTCTGTGGACGAGGATTCTTCAGAGAAATCTGGAAAAACAGATTTGTGATTCTGAGACAAGAACAACTCCTGATCTGCCACCAAGGAGGTGAGAAACACCCCACTACAGGAGAGGAGAGAGGGACTACAAGGAGAAGAGTGTGAGAGGTGAGTGTGAGGGATAGTGGTGAGGTGGACGAGAGATAGGTGTGTGGGGGGGGAGAGAGGGAGGAAGAAGGAGGGCGAGCTAGAGAGGAGAGAGATGGAGGGGGGAATGGAGGAGGAGAGGTGAGGAGGTTTGGGAGAGCGGGGATGAGGAGGGGAGATGGCGAGCGAGGGGGAGAGAGAGGAGATGAGCGCGAGGACGATGACCGCGTGACGCGACGGGGGCGAGGGAGGCCATGAGCAAGAGAGAATGATGAGTGAGGGCCCGAGAGTTGGGAGAGAGCGAGAGACGACAGGGAGAGCGCGACAGGGGAGAAGCGGAGATGCAGAGGTGAGGAGGAGGAGAGCAGCGAGAGATGAGGAAGGCAGAGAAGCGGGAGAGCGATGAGGCGACATGGGCGGGTGGAAGAGAGGACGGCGAGAGCAACCCACCGGAGACGCGAGGCACAGGGAGCGCGAGAAGGTTAGATGTGCGAGAGCGACGGAGGCGAGGAGCGATGGAGAAGATCTGCGCACGGGCGGAGATATATGGAGCGCCAGACGACGCGCCCCCAGCCGCATGTGGAGACAGCACGGTGAGGCGGCGGGACCCGGGCTGAGAGCCGCCCCACGGAGCCTGCGACACAGACCGGGACAGGAGCCCCCCCAGGAGATTGCGATGATCGCGACTCACCCCGAACCCGCGACGCTCCCCCCCCGCCTGAGCGCTGGATGCAGCGGCGAACTACGAAGAAGAGAGAACGAGAAGCAGATGCCCCCTCGCGAGCAGGGGCTCCGAGCGATGAGGAAGCGCGAGGGACCGCCGAGAGGCAGAACGTAGAGACGTGAGGAGAACGAGAGGGGATGCGGGACGCAGGCACTGAGATTGGAGCGCTGAGGAGAGCGCGCATGGGGAAGAGAGAGGCGGCGAGAGAGAGAACTCGAGACGGCAGGAGCGGAGCGAGGTGCTGGGCCCTGCGCAGCAGGGCGAGAGGCGGTCGAGACGTCGGCCGCGCCCGAAGGCGGAGAGAGAGAGAGAGAGAGAGAGAGAGAGAGAGAGAGAGAGAGAGAGAGAGAGAGAGAGAGAGAGAGAGAGAGAGAGAGGAGAGAGAGAGAGAGAGAGAGAGAGAGAGAGAGAGAGAGAGAGAGAGAGAGTGAGAGAGAGAGAGGAGAGAGAGAGAGAGAGAGAGAGAGAGAGATGAGAGAGAGAGAGAGAGAGAGAGAGAGGAGAGAGAGAGAGAGAGAGAGAGAGAGAGAGAGAGAGAGAGGACTACAGGAGAGAGAGAGAGAGAGAGAGGGACTACAGGAGAGAGAGAGAGAGAGACTACAGGAGAGAGACCTCTGTAGTCCTCTTTCTACAGGAGTTTCCTCCTGGTGCTCCGGTTTCCCCCACCACTAAACAAATATATTTCAGGACTGAACCAGGACTGAACCAGGTCTGAACCAGGTCTGAACCAGGTCTGAACCAGGTCTGAACCATGACTAAACGAGGACTGAACCAGGTCTGTGTCTAAAACTCTGTTCTCGCTGTAATCCTCGTGGATCACGTGATCAGGATTAGTGGCCGGAATGCAGCTGCTCAAGGGCACGAGGGTAGGACTGAGACCAGGACTGAGACCAGGACTGAGACCAGGACTGAGACCAGGACTGAGACCAGGACCGTTAGCAGATGCTAACACAGGCTTGAACAGGTTGTGTTTGCATGTTCTCCTGGTTCTCCTCCTGAAGCTGCTCCTCTCTCTGCAGGTGAAGGAGGCGCGGAGAGCTGAGGAGGTGCTGGACCTCCTGGACTTTGATGTTTGTGAGGAGGTGCGAAAGAGCCGGAGCCGGAGCAAAAAGAACCACAGCAAGTTCAGGCTGATCCAGAGTCACAGAAGGGGAGGGGCCAGGGTGAGGCAGCTGGTCTCTCTCTCTGGTGTCTCTCTCTCTCTGGTGTCGCTCTCTCGTGTCGCTCTCTGGTCTCGCTCTCTGGTCTCGCTCTCTGGTCTCGCTCTCTGGTCTCGCTCTCTGGTCTCGCTCTCTGGTCTCGCTCTCTGGTCTCGCTCTCTGGTCTCGCTCTCTGGTCTCTGTCTCTGGTCTCTGGTCTCTGTCTCTGGTCTCTCTCTGAAAGTTCTGGTCTCTCCAGGTGAACTCTGTGGTGTTTCTGGCCCTCAGTCCAGAGGAGAAAGAGTCTTGGATCCAAGTCCTGAACCAGGCCCTGAACCGAGCCAAGAACCGGGTCCTAGACCAGGTACATACCAGAGACCAGAGAGTGTGAGCGCCCCCTACAGAGCAGAGCCTCCCCCTTTTCCTGTGGGAGAGCAGCCAGAGGGCCACTCAATGCCGCTTGCATGACGTATGTGTGTCTGTGTGAATCTGTGTGTAGTGTCCGTGTGTGTGTCAGTGTGTGTGTCAGTGCGTGTGTGTAGTGTCTGTGTGTGTGTTACAGTAGTGTGTGTGTTACAGTAGTGAGTGTGTAGTGTCTGTGTGTGTTACAGTAGTGTGTGTGTGTGTGTTACAGTAGTGTGTGTGTAGTGTGTGTGTGTGTGTGTTACAGTAGTGTGTGTGTAGTGTGTGTGTTACAGTAGTGTGTGTGTGTGTGTGTATGTGCGTAGTGTGTGTGTGTGTGTGTGTTACAGTCGTGTGTTGTTGCCTAGGTGACGGTGGAAGACTCTTCTTTGTCTCATTTGACTCGAGACCGAGCGAAGATCCTGCACACGCGCCGTCTGCCAACAAGAGGCCACCTGCTGGCTGTGGTACGGTACTGCACCTGGACCAGGCCGAGACCAGGACCGAGACCAGGACCAGGACCGAGACCAGGACCAGGACCGAGACCAGGACCAGGACTGAGACCGAGACCGGGACCAGGACCGAGACCGGGGCCAGGACCGAGACCAGGGCCAAGACTGAGACCAGGGCCGAGACCAGGACCAGGACTGAGACTAAGGACTAGGACTGAGACCAGGACTGCTGTAGTACTAACACTGCAATAATAACACTACACAACTAATACTACAGTGCTAATACTAATACTGCAGTGCTAATTACTAATACTGCAGTGCTAATACTAATACTGCGGTGCTAATACTACAGTGCTAATACTAATACTGCAGTGCTAATACTAATACTGCAGTGCTAATACTAAGACTGCAGTGCTAATACTAATACTGCAGTGCTAATACTACAGTGCTAATACTAATACTGCAGTGCTAATACTAATACTGCAGTGCTAATACTAATACTGCAGTGCTAATACTAATACTACAGTGCTAATACTAATACTGCAGTGCTAATACTAATACTGCAGTGCTAATACTAATACTGCAGTGCTAATACTAATTCTGCAGTGCTAATACTAATACTGCAGTGCTAATACTAATACTACAGTGCTAATACTAATACTGCAGTGCTAATACTAATACTGCAGTGCTAATACTACAGTGCTAATACTAATACTGCAGTGCTAATACTAATACTGCAGTGCTAATACTAAAGTGCTAATACTAATACTGCAGTGCTAAAACTAATACTGCAGTGCTAATACTACAGTGCTAATACTGATACTACCTCTCCTTGTTCCCAGGCCTCTGCGTCCTCAGATGGAGCTCTGACTCTGGACCTGATCCAAGAAGACCAGACCAGAGACCAGCACCCAGACCAGACCAGGCCCAAATTCAAAAGCCCGACAGAGACCTCAGAGAAACCCCACACTCTGCCCAGACAGGTCAGTATGAGTCCTCCGGGTTTAGTCCTGATTTAGTCCGAGTTTAGTGCAGGTCTAGCCTGGTTGTACCACACCATAGTACAAATTACATTTCATACTAAGGTCTGGATTTGTTCCATTGTGCTCCGTGAACAGGTGGGAGGGGTTAACTCCTTTAGCAGATTGAAACCATTGGATCTGAGTTTACTGTGACGTATGTAGTGCGCCAGAGTCTGTCGTTAGCATTTAGCATTTAACCTAGCCATCTCCTTTGCCGCTAACGGAACCCGTGGAGAGTAGCGCCACAATTCTGACCAGCGATTACTTTTGCCAAACATTCCTCTTGCTCCTGCTTCAATTTCTTGATAGAACCAGACTGGATTACATTATTATCGCATTCTTTGCCATTGCCAAACAACAACCTGCCCGTTCGGCACCGACCTACAACACCCGCCTTCCGCGCTCTCTGAGTAGCCGGTTGAAATACGACCGATAGTATTCGCTAACATAGGGACCAGACCCAGACGTTACATGCAGTGAAATGATGATTGAGCGGAGTGTACAGATGGCTGTGGCCAGGCTAGTCCTGGTCTAGTCCTGGTCTAGTCCTTTCTGATGTAGTACTGTGTGTCTCCTGTAGGTGGTGTCAACACGAAAGTCTTTGTCGTCAGAGAAGAGTTTGTCTTTGGACCAAATCCCCCAAAACTCGAGTCCAGAGACCAAGACAGACACCCAGTCTAGGTCCAGGTCTGGGTCCAACTCCAAGTCTGGGTCAATCTCCCGACTTCAGGAGCTCATCCAGGAGAAGATCCAAAGAACAGAGGAGCTGCTAACAGAGCTAAGCCTGAACCAGGACCCAGACCAGAGACCGGACCTGGACCAGGACCAGAAACCGGACCAGGACCAGAAACTGGACCAGGCCCCGGACCAGGCCCCGGGTTCAGGGCCGGTCCGGTTGGAGGCCCAGGAGCTGCTCTCCGAGGCCTTGGACCAGTGGACTCAGGCCCACAGAGTCTTGATCGAGGTCCAGGAGCTGAAGGAGCTGTGTTTGAAGATGGACAGCAGCATTAAGCACCATGCTAATGCTAACTGCTGTGCTAATGATTGTGCTAATGCTCTTTCTAATGACTGTGCTAATGCTAACTCGAGCTAGCATTAGCACATGAGAACTATGTGAACTATGAACTGGACCCTGCTGGACAAAGGAGAAACTACATGCACTTATTTATGAATCTGTTTTGCACTTTTGAAAAATAATAAAACCCTCTAGTGGTAGAAGAGGAAACTACACTGTGCTTTTATAATGTGAGTCCAACACGGTGCGGTGGAACTGGAGACACAGCTTTGTCCACTGCTTCATGGGGGTCGTTACTGTGGATGCACTGATACCATGCTGGTCTCAGGTTTGATACCATAGGACCCGATACCCGCATTTTTAATTTACCGTCACGACAGCAGACAGCCAAGTGTTGCCATGGTGATCTCCGAAAGTCAGCAAGCTAACGGCGAGCGGACAAGATGTCGGCCGTATGGCAGTTTTTTAAAGTAAAGGAGAGTGAGCAGAGTAAAGGGACTGTACGTCGTGTAAAACTGTCCGGGTCCAAAACAAACACCAACAACTGGATAAAACTCACCACCGCAGAGTAACCTTTGCTAGCACTGGAGCTATAATAATAAATCTGTTTTATAAAGCGCTTTTCTGGACACTCAAAGACCCTTCACATGTCATTATTCTCTCTCTCCAAACACGGTGGTGATAAACTACTGTAGCCACAGCTGCCCTGGGGCACACTGACAGAAGCGAGGCAACCAGTCTGTGCCATCGGCCCCTCCCACCACCACCAACCATTCACACACACACCAGATGCCCAACTGAGCTACTGTAAGCTTTTACTCTACTACTACTCTGTATCAGCAAGTACTCACATTAAGGTACTCTGTATCGGCAAGTACTCACATTAAGGTACTCTGTATCGGCAAGTACTCACATTAAGGTACTCTGTATTGGCAAGTACTCACATTAAGGTACTCTGTATCGGCAAGTACTCACATTAAGGTACTCTGTATCGGCAAGTACTCACATTAAGGTACTCTGTATCAGCAAGTACTCACATTAAGGTACTCTGTATCAGCAAGTACTTGTATCGGTTTTGAAAAAAGTGGGATCGGTGCATCCCTAGTTGTTAAGGTAAGGGCCATTCACACCGGACCATGTAATACGTCCAGTGTCCCTGTCAACGATGACGTTCAACGGTAGGGGTGTGACGATATATCGCAATACCTTCTCCCGCGATTCGATTATCGATATGCATTTGCCAAGTATCGATATCGATCGGTTTACTTTTTTTTTTTTGAATTGGTATCATTACTTAATATATGGCTACATTGCACATCTCCATTCTATTTATCATGAAATAAAGAGTATTTTTTCTTTTATTTATACCATAAATTGGCATATTGTATATTTCTGAACAAAATATCAATAATCGTCATATCGTTATCGTGAGCTTTGTATCGTGAGGTACCCTTAGGTTCCCACCCCTATTCAACGGTGCGAGACTTTACACGCAGTAGTAGTAGCAGCAGTAGCAGTATTAGTAGCAGCAGCAGTAGTAGTAGCAGTAGTAGCAGCAGTATTAGTTGCAGTAGCAGCAGCAGCAGTAGCAGTAGTAGCAGTAGCAGTAGTAGCAGCAGCAGTATTAGTTGCAGTAGCAGCAGCAGCAGCAGTAGCAGCAGTAGTAGTAGCAGCAGTAGCAGCAACAGTAGTAGCAGCAGCAGCAGTAGTAGCAGCAGCAGTAGTAGCAGCAGCAGCAGCAGTAGTAGCAGCAGTAGCAGTAGCAGCAGCAGTAGTAGCAGCAGCAGTTGTACAGAGTGAAGCCGTTGCTCATTTGGTTTTTATCAGTTTTATGCAAAGTCAAACAAAGTCTCTCTGTCGCCAGTGACGTCATTTGCTTTGGACTAGTGTTAAGACAACAGCGCCACCGTGTGGACGGACAGGGGACAGCAGGTCTACAGCAGGTCTACGGCAGGTCTACAGCAGGTCTACAGCAGGTCTACGGCAGGTCTACGGCAGGTCTACAGCAGGTCTACGGCAGGTCTACAGCAGGTCTACGGCAGATCTTCATGAACAGGACACATTCAGACGCTCAAAGATTTATTTTACTCAAACTCACAGAAAATCAACTGATCAAGAACAAAACAAAGACTGCAGAAGAGACCAGAGAGAGAGAGAGACCAGAGAGAGAGAGAGAGACCAGAGAGAGAGAGAGAGAGACCAGAGAGAGACCAGAGAGACATCAGAGAGACATCAATAGTCCTGGAGGGTTCTCCTCTGGTTCCTCCTGAAACAGAGAGAGTAGTTTGAGCAGAAGATTCCAGAAAAGCCTCAGACTAAGGCCCTGTCCCGACACTCGCGAGTGCGTAGGGTACAGTCCCAATTCTCCAGGGAGCGTTCTTTGGCCCTGCCCCCTTTGCGCCCCTGATCCACTTCGCCATAGCCTGCATCTAAGCGGACTCTGGCGAAGGATATTGCCCATAATTCTTTGCGGTACACAGCATGAAATATATTTGCTGTATGTGTGTGAGTAAGTTTTACTGATACTTGTAAAGAAGCATAAATGTCTGAACATTCTATGGAAATAATTTCATAACTTTTTTAAATGGGTAATAAGACAGGGCCTTAGAGGAGTGTAAGGGCAGTGTGGGTAACGGGACAGGGCCTTAGAGGAGTGTAGGGGGCAGTGTGGGTAATGGGACAGGGCCTTAGAGGAGTGTAGGGGGCAGTGTGGGTAACGGGACAGGGCCTTAGCGGAGTGTAGGGGGCAGTGTGGGTAATGGGACAGGGCAGTAGAGGAGTGTAGGGGCAGTGTGGGTAATGGGACAGGGCAGTAGAGGAGTGTAGGGGCAGTGTGGGTAATGGGACAGGGCAGTAGAGGAGTGTAGGGGCAGTGTGGGTAACGGGACAGGGCCTTAGCGGAGTGTAGGGGGCAGTGTGGGTAACGGGACAGGGCAGTAGAGGAGTGTAGGGGCAGTGTGGGTAATGGGACAGGACCGAGATGATTAAGAGGAGCATCAGGACCACACAGCTCTGACTGCAGACGCTGCTCCCTCCTCACCTCCTCCTCAGGCCCACTGCTCCTCTCCCTCACCTCCTCCTCAGGCCCACTGCTCCTCTCCTGCCATGGACATGTACTGGTCCAGCTGAGCGTCCAGACGGGAGCGGGACAGAGACATGTACTGGTCCAGCTGAGCGTCTAGACGGGTCTTGGTCTTGGACATGTACCAGTCCAGGTCCAGATCCAGCTGCTTCTTAGAGGGAACCACCTTCTGCTGGCCCCGCCCCCGAGAGCTGGCCTGGCCCCGCCACTTTGACACCTGGAAGGACTTTCCTGAAACACAGTGATGACAGTCAATCAATCAATCAAATGTTATTTATAAAGCGCTTTTCATACAAAAAGTGTAACACAAAGTGCTTTACAGTTTAGTTAAAAACAATCCAACATGCCCAGCCCTAAACCCTCCTCCCCACAGACCCCCCAAAACCACATTTATAATTATATATACAACCACATGCACACACACACACACACAAAGTCATATCAGGTAAAATAGGTAAAACAATAAAAAGAAATGGGGCTGGGAGCAGATGTAACCGGCTGAAGAAGCGTCATCCAAGGAGCATCTGCACCAGGAGCAGAGAGCCGGCTGCAGCCACAGAGAACGACACAGGACCCAGAGGAGAGAGGGGCCCCAGACCCCACCAGGCCCAGGACTCAGACCCCATAGGACCCAGAGGAGAGAGGAGGCCCCAGACCCCCACCGGATCCAAGAGCCAGACCCCCGAAGCCACAGCAGACCCCAGCTCTCAGTGCAGAGGGCTCCTCCAGAGGAAACACTGGGGACACTAAAACAATACAATAATACAGTGTGACCTCAGATCAGATTTCACTTTAACAAGAGCTAAAATCAGGAACATCCTAAAAGTGAAAAACTGATCCATGCTTTTGTCTCCAAGGCCCTGCTTCTCTATTAAGATAACATGGAGGAACACATAACTCCAGTGTTAAAATCACTCCACTTCCTGTGGAAGATAGAATAAAATGTAAACAAAGCCATAAATGGCTCCTTCTTAATTTTCAAGACACCCTAGTGTCATATCAACCAAACACCAGAGTTTGCTGGGTCCTAAAGAGTCAAAAGACCAGCCTACTGGGTCCTAAACATGTGACTACGTACGTTATACAGTCCATCTCCGTCGTTCTAACTAATGGGCCAAAAATTGGGCTTTCATGGAGTGATTCAAAATGGCCACAGGGGCTGGAAAATGTGAAATAAAACCAGTGGGGGAGGGTCCCAGCTCAAAAGTGGCCAAAATAACGTACGCTGACATGCTGCAATACCACCCGGGGCCGATGTTGGTGGACCCAGAAGTAGAATTAGCAAATGCTAACATATAGCATCTTCTTACCTCTGGAAAACGTCTTTACAGGATGGTCCAAAAGTTGGCTCTTGGCCCAAAGCTCCGTTCCACATGTGTGTCAATGCTGAGGGGGGTGTTTTGGTCCACTCTAGTTTACTTGCTGTGAATTTTTGAAGTCTCTCGTTCAAATGAATGGAGCTGCTCCGGCTGACGCATGCGCAGATGCGTTTTTTCACAATTTTCTTGTGGGCGGGACCACTCGCGGCCATTTTGGATACATTTTTTGTCCCATTAGATAGAACGGTGGAGATAGGCGTGACTACGTCCGTTAATATTTACAGTCTATGGAAAAAACGCATCTGTGCATGCGTCAGCTGCACAAGCTCCATTCATTTAAACAAGTGACTTCTAAAGTCCACAGCGACTAAACTAGACTGGTCCAGAACACCCCCCTCAGCATTGACACACATGTGGAACAGAGCTTTGGGCCAAGATCCAACTTTTGGACCATCCTGTAAAGACGTTTTCCAGAGGTAAGAAGATGCTATACATTAGCATTGGCTAATTCTTATTCCGGGTCCACCCCCACAGGCGCGGGGTGGTATTGCAGCATGTCAGCGCACGTCATTTTGGACACTTTTGAGCCGGGACCCGCCCCCGTTGGTCCTAAGGAATCAAACACCAGAGTCTGCTGGGTCTACAGCCTCAGTCCTGGGTCTACAGCCTCAGTCCTGGGTCTACAGCCTCAGTCCTGGGTCTACAGCCATCATCTTTATGAACCTTTGAAGAGTGGAGTGCGTCTGTGCCTCAGGACCCCCCTCAGAGCGCCCCCTGCAGGACAGACACAGGGTTAGAATCAGCTTCACTGCAGTCAGAGCAGAGTTAGGACTCACGTTTGAGCGTCAGATTGAGCCTTGATCTGAGGGCGGGGCTAAGGCATCTCAGGGCGGGGTTAATCCATCTGTAGGCGGAGTTACTCCCAGGGGCGGGGCTAAAGCCTGGACCAGGACGAGAAGCAATGGTTCAGGTTCAGTACATGGATCTATAATAATATCTGGATAGAGTATTACAGCTCATAGCTGTCCCACCCATGGGCACAGGGGGCGCTGTGGTGCTGCAGACTAACTTACTTTTTAATACTTGTCTTTATTTGCATTTATTTTATTTGCAAGGTCTCCTAGAACTCAATGTAAACTCGAACAGCTGGACCTCACCTGACAGAGAACCTGACAGAGAACCCACAGCTTTTATAAAAAGGTCAGATTTTGTGATGATTCTAGTGTGTCTTGAATCCTGAACTTTTTTTCTTCTCAAATCCTTCGGTTTTCTTTAAATCCACACTTTACTGCCACAAACTCTGCTTGTTTTCTTCCCGCTCTGATCACCAGCTCTGATGGGTCAGAACGCTGCCCTCTGAGCGTGTAGTGCGTCTGTGCCTCAGAACCTGACAGAGAACCTGACAGAGAACCCGCGGCCGAGCCCCTCTCTGCACGTGCATGAGAGCCACACACGCGTATTTGGCGCAAAGCATCATGGGAGCTCGTCCACTGCACAGAACCAGACGATGGCCAAATATGGGCGAGTTCCACTAAAATTTCGGTCCCCGTGTCCCATGAGCCACTGAGCACAAACCATTCATTTGAACAGGACGCCATCTTCGATCACCGGGGCTTGGTTCAGTACAATTATAATAAAGAACTGTTTCTGTTCCGTAAACAGGATCTGGAAATGGGTCTAAAAGGTATTTTCAGATTTTCCAATAATATACATTATATCTCTCTCTCTCTCTCTCTCTCTCTCTCTCTCACCTTTGCTGAAGCTCACTCGTCGTCTGTATTTGTTCCTGAAATTCCAGAAGCCTCTTTTCTTCCAGCCGAGACGAGACCACACACTGGCCCTGTGACCGAGCTGAGGCCCCTGTCTCAGCTGAGAATGGGGGGTGTTCCTGAGCCGCAGAACCATCGATGACGACTTGTTCCCACGAAACACAAACCTCCTCTGGGTCAGCTGCTCCAGCAGGACCTCTGAGAACCTGAGGACGTTTGGACATGAGAGACGTGTGTGCGTGTGCGTGTGTGCGCGCAGGTGTGTCTCTCACCGCTGATGCAGGGACTGGCTGGTGTTATGCTCCAGGTACATGGGACCGGCCTCCATTCTTCTGTGACCTATGACCTCTGTGAAGGAGAAGAGAGAGAGAGTAGAGTAGGAATCGGGTAGAGTAGAGTAGAGTAGAGTAGAGTCATCTTGCCCCCAGCTCCTTCTGCTAAATACACGGTGTTCTGATCTGTGCAAACTTAATAAAAACACTTGTTCATAACAGAGTCTCTGTTCGGGCAGATTACTGAGGAACATGACACATACTTAGAGACTAAAATACTTAGATACTGTAACTAGATAATGCTCAGGTGGTGGTCCTTAGCTAAAGCCTCCAGAACACACACAAACACGTTCCTCACAGAACCCAGCTGCTGTGAGGTCAAGTACAAACATTAAAACACTAACTCACACTTTTCTGCCAAAACTACAAACATGAAAACAAGAAAAACACGTGATAAAGCCGTAATATTACCTGAAGACACGCCACAAAACACAGACTGAGATGTGGTCACGTCCAAATCCAGCGGGAGGACAATAGGATGCTAACTGTGGGCCTTTCCGCTAGCTCTCTATTATCTATGCTTGTCTGGCCACGTCATAGTTAGCCTCGCCGCTAGCTCCTCTACTGCTAGCTCCTCGCTAGCCTCGTTAGCCTCGCCGCTAGCTCCTCGTTAGCCGCTAGCTCCTCGCTAGCCTCGTTAGCCTCGCCGCTAGCTCCTCGCTAGCCTCGTTAGCCTCGCCGCTAGCTCCTCGTTAGCCGCTAGCTCCTCGTTAGCCTCGCCGTAGCTCCACGTTAGCCTTGCTGCTAGCTCGTTATAATACTCGTTCTTTTCCAAACTTTACCAGGTGGTGATGACCTTGAGTTGTAATGTGGACCGGAGCGAGACCAGACTTGGACTGGACCAGACCTTGGGGCTGAACTAAGAACTATTTGAGGCTAAAGCTGTTGAAAAGGACTGAATCTGAGTCTTTCAACCACAGGAAGCGAACCTCAACCACACCTTCACCTCAGGATATATACATTAACAAACTGAATTAATATTATAAATAACACATGTTTAAAGCTCAGGTCTGTAACTTTAGTCTGAATAAAACTTGTTAAAGCTCAGGTCTGTAACTTTAGTCTGAATAACACATGTTTAAAGCTCAGGTCTGTAACTAGTCTGAATAACACATGTTTAAAGCTCAGGTCTGTAACTTTAGTCTAAATAACACATGTTTAAAGCTCAGGTCTGTAACTTTAGTCTAAATAACACATGTTTAAAGCTCAGGTCTGTAACTTTAGTCTAAATAACACACCCTAACACATGTGTTAAATACAACACAGTGGTTGTGTTGTAATCAACACATGTGTTTTATTCAAGAAGATCTTTAAAAAATGTATTCAAATATATTTATTATACAGAATTCTAAAACAGACATTGAACTGAAGTGAGATTTTTCACTTGTGTTAAACAATTCAAATTGTCAAAAAAAATAGAAAATCATGAACTAAATATCTGGAATGAATCTAAAGATAAATGACAAACTCTTTTTGCAACAAACCAATACATAACAAGCACGAACACGTTTATACAAGTATTTTATATCTTGGATTTAGATTTAATTTTTCATCTGAAAATGTTAAGTCCAGTGGCCTTTCTTAAGACAAATCAATTCATATTCGTTCCACCAAATACGAATATAAATGATCGTCTAAATAAGTTACCGTTAAGATTCTGATAAATACAAATACTTCTATTTCACACTCTGGAATCATACATTTTCACCAAAGAGCGGTTCTTTGTGATCAGACTTCAAAGCTCCAACTCAGACCAACTCTAAATGTTTGACCAAAAATACAAACAGCAACATGAGTTGTACTACATGGACTAATATCACGTCAGAAGCTTTCCACTGATCGAGGAACAATTCATATTTTTCTAAAGATAAAATTGTGATTGCACAGCTGTTTTGGACTTGGATTTTCTTTGTAATTGGGTCACTAAACTTCCAATTAAACATACTCTGAAGTTGCATACAACATGGGCATGCTTTTTAAGAGGCCCATGCTTGCTTTAGAAACGCACCAAAACCTTTCGAGTGGGCCAAATGTAATCATCACTTGCCAATAATGAGTCATGAAGTGCTTTGGTGTGAGCTGCCTGTCTGGGTAAAGACTTTTGAGAAGAGCTGCCTGTCTGGGTAAAGACTTTTGAGAAGATGGTGGTGATCTATAACCAACTGCTCTAACAACATTACAAGTCCAGGGGTCACAAAGGTGCAAACTATGTTGCATATTTCTCTGAAGAGGATAAACCATTTCCACTGTTGATTATCTTCACTTACATGGTCTCTGATCAAAAAGGGCAGAAAAAGCAAGAGGCACCACATTCGACTGTTTTATAGGATTATCTGATGTTCTCAGATTAAGGAAGACACTTGGTTTGTTTTTAGCGTTAGAATATCCATAATCAAAGCTAACTATCTTGTCATTAAGATGCTCTAATCTTCCAAGGGACCCACACCTTCTGCATCAGGACATGTGTTTTCAGTGATATTAAACAAGAATCTGTCATGGTGTGGACATTTTGACCTGGTTTTATTTTGCTATATATTATGTAGTTTGAGTTTGAATCCTGCCTGACCTGTTGATTGTTGCCCCGCCCTAATGTGATTCACCTGTGTGTCCCTGTGATTCACCTGTGTGTCCCTGTGATTCACCTGTGCGTCCCTGTGCGTCCCTGTGCGTCCCTGTGCGTCCCTGTGCGTCCCTGTGCGTCCCTGTGCGTCCCTGTGCGTCCCTGTGCGTCCCTGTGTGTGTATATATACCCTGTGCCATTCCTCACTTGTTGTCCGTCCATTGTCTCAACCATGTTTGTCTTGTCTAGTTTTTTCAGTTCTGGATTTTTGTGCTTTTTTGTCACTCTGGATTTTGATTTGATTAAATTACATTTTATTTTCAGTCCTGCATTTTGGGTTCCTCCTTCATGCATCTTACAACGTGACAGAATCCTCTTTTATACCCGTTAGAGGAGGGTTCTTCAGGCTGACATGGTGTTTACGGTTCATCTTGTCACAGGTTTCTTGGTGATCATCGTCAGAGACATATTGGGCACTTTGCAAGTTAGACAGAAATGGCAACATTTGTTGGCTGAGAAACTCTCCAAAATCCTCCAAGTGAACAACAAGTGAGATTATCTGCTGTCAAAAGGAACATTGTTCCACCTTTGGAGACATTCTCTCAATTTCAACCAGAATTCCATCCTTTTCAAGTATTTGTAAATCTTCCAAAAGAGGATCTAATATTTTGGCCAAACCGTAAGTCTCTCGGTCAATAGAATTAAAGAGAAGACACAGGTGAATATTTGATAAAGAGGAATTCATTTCTGCAGGAAGATTCCTCAAACAGAAATAAACAGCCACCATTTTGTGAATTTTTGTCTTTGACCCAAAAGGATTGGTCGTTTCCACATTAGGGTATTACATGTGCAATGGACGCTGAGCAAAACGTGGACGTCACAGTAATCCTGCATCTTTCCATCAACACTTTTATAGAGTTCTTTTTAAGTCTTTTCATTTCCAAATAAAGACGTAATGGTTTCAATAATAGATACTGACACAGATCTGCAGCCGAAAGTTGAGCCAGTTTCCCTTCAGTGTCCGCTCTATGAACCAAAGATAGATGTTGGTTTGACTAAAGACTGTGAGAGAGAGTCCACATCCGAAAACATGTCCTGAGCACGATCAAAATCCTTCATTAAAGATCCAGTTGTATTTTCTGGAATGGTTGAACAGCTTTCAAGTACTCGTTTTGTTTTTTCCTTTAGTGACTGGATTAAATTGTCCAACTCCTTCGTACTTGTCATATTAGTTGGAACAGTTAATGTTGTGTTTGCAGCACTTTATGTTTTAGCAACAAATGAAGCTGCACAAGTTCTGTGCCGTGCGGTTGTTGCCACTGTAGAATCTCCGTCACTGAGAGCTGCATGAGTTGCTTGTTTACGCAGTTTTGACGAGAGAAAGTAACTTGTGCGCATGAATCCTCATGTCATCTGATCGGTCTTTGTGATCGGCACATTTCACTGATCACCGATCACGATTATAATCGGCTCCCGATCGATCGGTGCACCTCTAGTTGATCATTTACATTCCATGCAATTTGGAAATCAGCTCTAAGACTTTGGAGCGCTTGGCAGATTCCTTTTTTAAATCATAATACTCCAAAAACTGGTATACTGATCTGACCTGAGGAGGATATGACAGGTTGCACACCCAAAATAGTTTGAAGAGTTTGTCCAGAGCACAAGTCAGTCCTTCATCTTGGAGAGGGAGTATTACTTTGTCATTAGTGGCAACGATGAAATATTGTGCCGCTGGGTTCCTGGGATGTCCTAGGCCAATGAGTTTTGGTTGCTGGACTTCTGAATCAGAGTCTGCAGTCGAAATGCTTGTTCCACTCTGAAGAAAAAAAAAACAGTTTGAAAACTCTGATATGAACAGATACCAGTGAAGGCAATGAAAATAGTTATTTTCTTTTCTCAAAGAAGTGAGCTCACTCATTAGAAATCAGATCCATTTGTGTTTAAACTGCTACTCCTGTAACTACAGAACTACTGTTTGAGTTAATTCAATTTAATGTATTCACTTTATGTGCTAAAATCAGCAGCAAAAAGACTTATTACATCAAAATAAAGTCTCAATCCAAATATCGGCTACCAGCACAGATATCCGATACCAGTGTTGTATTGATGCTAATGCCTGTGTCTGCATGGGGCAATGCTCATGGCTCCTCCACTCGTACCTGACTCAGAGCGCACAGAAACATGTTCAGTTATGAGCTCAAAAAACAAGAGACAAGTGACACTTTTGACCGTTTAAAATCAGTGCGGACACGTTGCACAGGTGTTGTGTTGTAGCAGGTGTTGTAGCAGGTGTTGTAGCAGGCGTTGTAGCAGGCGTTGTAGCAAGCGTTGTAGCAGGCGTTGTAGCAGGCGTTGTAGCAGGCGTTGTAGCAGGTGTTGTAGCAGTTGTTGTAGCAGTTGTTGAGTTGTAGCAGGTGTTGTGTTGTAGCAGGT